CCAGCAGACCAGGGAGACCCACGCAAAGCCGCAGAGGCGGAGGGACCCCGCCGCCCGTGTGGCTTTGCTCCTGTCTCCCTGGTCTGCTGGGGGAGGTCCAGCGACTTTGCTGGACCCCCCCAGCAGACCAGGGAGACTGGGAGAAACTTTTCTCACCCCGTTTGTAAGTGCGGATCCGACATAAGTCGGATCCGCGTAAGTCGGGGACTGCCTGTACAGAGAAAAGAAAGTCACCGCATACTCTATGTAGGCTAGCCCAGCGCACCATCAAGTGGTGTGGCCCTCCCTCTGGGATCCCACTCTGTCCCTCGTTGTCCAAGTTCCCAAGCAAGTCTCACCTGGGTCCTTTTCAGTTCTTTATTGACCATCTGGTCAAATGCTGGTGGCTTTTTGTGGAGAGTGGACATGGTTGTTAGTTGGTAGATAGCAAATGTCCCGGGTATTTGCTTTGCTATTGTTTTCATGGACTCTCTAATGCCATGGGCCTCACACATGAGACAACTAGACATCATCCACATTTGTGTGGCAGCCTGTCTGAAGGTAAACAGCCCTTTTTTATCCTGTAGATAGCAATTCAGCCAATAGGGGAAACTGAGGCACACACAGTAGTCATACAAAATACCTACAGAAAATTTCCACTCCATCACTGCGGGGTTCTGCATTATTGATCTGAAACAATTCAGTCTCTTCTCTTTGGTTCTTTGGGGGTTACAAACAAAATAGAAGCCTCTTGTAAATGCCTAATCTTACCGAAGCCCTGGCCTGTGCTAGGAGTTTAGATCGAATTTAGCTGCATAAAGTCAATTTTCTAAACAGTGAGTCCACATTACCAAGGTTGTTCTGTTGACTTTAAGGGCTGCTGAGGTTGATTTCGGTACTCCAGCTTTTCATGCGGAGTAACGCAAAATTCAACCTTGCATGGTTAAATTTACAGTAGTGGAGATCCAGCGTTGAGAAAAATGGGGTTCTTGGCCTCTGAGAGGCATTCAGCAGTGCCCTGCTGTGACCGCTCTGGCCAGAACTTGCACCTCTCCTGCTTTCCAAGTGAACAGGAAAAAAACCCAGGGAAAGTTTGAATTTCATTTCCTACATGGCCAGCATTGTGAGCATACTTCAGAGCAGGCAGCACATCTGAGCAGCACACTTCCAGGACTTCCATGAGTTCAAGTCCCATAAGCTCTGGTTCCTAGGAGTGCCAAAGAGTGCCAGCATGGAGTATGCAGGAGATCTTGGACTTCATTGAGGTGTGGGGATAGGAGTCCATTCTCTCAGATCTCCAAAACAGCAAAACAGATGCTGATATCTACATGAAGATAGCAAAGTGCCTGGTGGAGAAATGATCCTGTAGGGACACCCAGCAGTACTGTGTTAAAATGAAAGAGCTCAGGCAATCCTATCACAAAACAAAGGAGGTAAATGGATGGCCTGGTGCATCATTGCAAACATGCCACTTCTACGACCAACTGCATGTGATCCTGTGGGGGACCCAACCAGCTTCCCAAGCCAGACCATGGAGCCTGCCCAAGATACTCAGGGCAGCAGCGTGGAGGACAGCCTGGCAATGGAGGAGGAGGAGAATGGCCAACTGGTGAGCAGCAAGAGCCAAGCACTTTTTTCATCATTTTGGAACCAATTCCCTCCTCCCAGGACAGCCCAGGGAGGGTGCTTCTGGTGAGTTCACAATTTTTTTCTTGCTACAAGTGGGTTAAGGCAGTTGGGTGTGACGTGTGGTGTACTCTGTGCCTACACAGCATAGGGAACCCAGAACAGCTTGTTAACATGTCTGGAAATGGTGTGGGAATCCTCCCTGAATATCTCCATGAAGCTCTCAGATAGGAACTCTTTGGTCCTTCTCACAAGGTTTCTGAGGAGGCCTTATTCTGTCCTTCACGGTAGAGCGCCTTCCCACGCCAAGCCATCAGTAAGTGGTTGCAGTACAAATGGTTGCCACGTAAGACCCGGGTTTATGACCACATTCAGTCAGCATCAGCTCCCTATCATTGGGATTTGGAGAAGACTGATATCTCACATGGCAATCTGGATGAAGGAGGAGGGGAAGCTATTAGCTAGCTGCTGCCCTTCCTTCCCTCCTGCCCACACGCTTCTGCAGGATAGGGAAGTAGTACTCTCCCAGAAGCAGGGTGTGGTGGACATAGAAGAGAGAAGCTGGGTGAACCACTGCCCTGCTTTGCTGGTATGACACGACCCTGTTCTCTCGCCCACCTGCAGGCTTCTGCAGGATGGAAAAGTAGCATTCTCCTGGGAAGTGGGTTGTTGTGGACACAAGGGAGGGAAGCCTTGTGAGCCACTGCCCTGCCCCACCAGCATGACCAGATCCCATTCCCCCCTCCTGCACACAGAATCATGCGGCCCCTTACCATGCCTGCCTACAAATCATGTGAGTCCAGATATTCCCTTGAGAGCTCTGCTGTGTATCTGCTGTACAGTGACCACTTTATGGCATAACTTTGACCTTGCACAGAATACATCTCCATTGTCTTTAGAGGGACCTTTGCTGTATGTTATCAGAGTAGGTTTTAGGCTACACAATGTGTATCTCCTGTAATATGTGCCCTTGTAACTTTTCATTGCAGTGGAAACAGCAGGCAACCTGATGGGCACTCTCCTGGCTCCAGCAGCTGTCTGGCTTTCACAAATCGGCAGGTGAAAACGGACAAGGGAAGACATGTTTAAGGAGCAAATGAAGTGGAGGAATATGCCCCTGGAAGAGATGCAAGGGGAGTGGCAGGACAGGATAGCGGAGCAGCAGGTGAGGAGAATGTGCAGGGAACTGCAAGGGGAGGCAACAGGAGATTGTCTTTTCCTCCCTGACGGCTGTGATGGAGCATCTGACAGCTTGCCTGGAGAAGAACCTTCCCCAGAACTCCCCCTTCCCTGTGCAAAATAACTTTTCCTCCTCACCCAGATCCAACCTCCACCCCCCAGGCACCCCAGAACATGGGAGTTGGGGGACTCAAGGGCAGCTTCACACAACCTCCAGGGTCTCAGGAGGCAAAAGGCTGTCCTTGCATTTTTGATTCCCACTCCCTTCGGGTCCCAACATGGATTTCTTTTCTGTGCCTGCTGTCCTCCCTAAATAAAAATGCATGTAATTCCCGCTCCCTTCGGGTCCCAACATGGACTTCTTTTCTGTGCCTGCTGTCCTCCCTAAATAAAAATGCATGATCTCTGAACAACAGTCTCTTTATTGTTTGTATTGGAGGGGTGAGGGTGGGGGATTACAGGCAAACACACTGAATGCAGGGGCACCTCATTGAGAGCAACATGCATAACTCTCAAAACTGGCCATTCATAAAACTTTCTTTCAAAGTCTCTCTGATTTGCACTGCCCCATGCTGTGTTCTCATTGCCCATGGCTACTCAGAATCTCTGGCTAGGCACTCAGCCCCCCAATCCTGCCTGATAACTTTCCCCATAACTCTCATAAATATTGCAGAGCACACAGCAGGCTGCTACCACAAAGGGAATGTTGCGTTCGCTGAGGTCTAACCTAGTATGTAGACTCCTAAACCTTCCCCTTAAATTCCCAAAAGCACATTCAACCACCATCCTTCACTTGCTCAGCCTGTAGTTGAACTCCTCCTTACTGTGGTCCCAGCTGCCCTTGTACAGTGTCATGAGCCATGGAAGCAAGGGGTAGGCTAGATCTCCAAGGAGTGGATCTGCTATCGTTACCAGTGTTACTAAAAATTGAGAACACACCTAGTTCTAGTTAGTAGGAGAGAATTGGTGGTGGAGTCAGATATCTATGATACAATCTTGTTTATTCTCAAGGAATGTACGAAGTCCTGTTTTTCTGAGCAAGGCGGGAATCCAACTGGAGATAGTTTCTTTGCTTACAGCTCCAAACCCTTTTCTAGCCAGAACTTGGCACAAAAGCTCTACCTTGGCTTCTTCTCAGGTCCCATGTGCAGTGCTTCTGTGGCTTTTTGTCTGGTGCTTCCTTGCTGCCTTCTTTCCACTCTGTTTTTTCTACCTCTCTCTTGCAGACAAACACCCCCCCCCCAAAAAAAAGCAACAGCCAATGAGACCCTTCCACCCACATGTGCTTAGCATTTTGCCAGTGTTTGGGATTGAGACCACTTGTTTCCGCTGCTTGTTCCTTAGAGTTTAAAGCCAGAAGAGACCATTCGAGCAATCAGTATGACCTCTGCATAGCTCTGGTTATTAAATTCCATTCAAATACCCCTCTGTTGAGCTCAATGACTTCAATTGAACCAAGGATTAACTCAGTTCTCAGGATACTAATCTGTTGTGAGCCCCATCCGCCAAGCAGAAAACAGGAGAAACCAACAGGCTACCAATGTCAGAAGTCCCAGCAGTGACAGGGAATTGACTAGATGAGAAGCTCAGGTGATCTCAGCAGGTGACCCATACCCCTGTGCTGTAGAGGAGGGTGAAACCTGCCTCCCTTGAAGTTTCTGCAATCTGACACGGGGGAAATTCCTTCCCTACTCTACATCTGGTGATCAGTTAGTCCCAGAGCATGTCAGCAAGACCTGCCAGCCAGCAACTGTAACAGAAGGTTGTCTGTACCACTTGAGATCACTGGCTTGCCCTAGGCGACTGTTACCACCTGTGGCTGATGCTTCAGAGGAAGATGATGGGGGAAGAGGGGGTTGGGGAAGCCACACATTATAACTGTGCATCAGGGGGGGAATTTTTTTGTCCTGATCCTTTCAGGCAGTCATCTGAAGCATGAGATTAGGTGCTAGTCATTCTCCTTGTCTATACATTATATACATAATACCTCATGCCTGCTGTCATAAAGGGGCTTAATGGCTTTTTACAACTATCTTAAATCAAGGGCAGCATCTACATCCAACCCAGAACAACAAGGTCTTACCTGGCTCCTGTTAGTATTGTGTGCATGTGTGTGTGGAGCTCTATGTATGCACTTCCTTCCCCTCCCATCTGGGCCTTGCTGGGGTGGTGCCCACTGCCCATGCTGCCCTGTAATGCCTGGCTCCCCACCACAGGCTCCATCTCCGTGAATAGCCGCAGCATACCATTCCTGGCCAGTGGGGAGAGCGAGATCCTGGACCTGGACAGTGAGATGTACTTGGGGGGTCTTCCCGAGAACCGTCTGGACTTGATCCTACCCCCTGAGGTGTGGACTGCCTTCCTCAACTATGGTTATGTGGGCTGCGTGCGGGACCTCTTCATCGATGGCAAGAGCCGGGACGTGCGGCGCCTGGCCGAGGTTCAGAGTGTGCCTGGCGTCTCCAGCTTCTGCTCTCGGGAGACCCTCAAGCAGTGCAGCAGTGCACCCTGCCGCAATGGGGGAGTCTGCCGTGAGGGCTGGAACCGCTTCATCTGTGACTGCCTGGGCACTGGCTACCTGGGCAGAGTGTGTGAGAGAGGTGAGGGGGCTGTGTGGGCATTGGCTACCTAGACAAGGTGTGTAGGAGGTGGAGATAGAGGGGAACCCCAGGTACCCGGATAAGGTGTGTGAGATGAGGGCCTCATGGGAGGGGCACCGAGTACCTGGGAAGGGTGGGTGTGAGGTGAGGGGGCATGGAAGTGGTGAGGGAACAGGCCGGGGGTGTCTGCCTCAACAGCATGTGAGATGTCTGTGTAAGGGTCAGTGATGGGAAACATGGTACCCCTGTCCTCTTAGTGAGACAGATGGGCCCTGGCATCAGGACAGAATTGGTGAAAAGCAGATTCCTTAGTTCACTGGCAGCTCAAAAAAATCAGGGAAAGAAGTGAGTTTGGGTCAAAGAGAATTGAAACATTCCCAGAATCTTCAGCCATTCTAAAAGTCGACGATAAGTCTGTCAAGGGTGAATACAATGGGCTGTTTGCGGACATCTTTACGGGGCTAAAATGGCAGAAGTGTCTGGGATGCCTCCCAGTTTTGTGAATGGTGCCAAAGTCCCCCTATGAGTCCATCACCTATATCTGTTTCCTCTGAAACTATTTGGTGAATTATTGTTAAATTGGCAAAGAGTTGGGGGTTGACTGAAGCTGCATTTTGAGGTTAATAAAGGATTTGCCCAAAAAACTTTGCCCAGTTCTACTCGGGACTCCTGGGTTCCATGCCTGGCTGTGGGAGGAGAGTGGTGTCTAATGGTTAGATCAGGGAGGCTGGGAGTCAGGACTCCTGGGTTCTGACTGGAGGAGGCTGGAATTGGGAGAAGAGGATCTCTGAGTGTTGCAGCATAAGACAGAATCTAACTCACCTTCTCTCTTTCTCTCTCTCTCTCTCCCCCTCCCCCCACCCAATTCCTGTTTTTTTCACCATCTCTTTCCCACTTCTATTGTCTTGCCTCCTCTCAAACCCTCTTTCCCCTGTGCCCTCACCCCTCAGAGGCCACGGTGCTGAGTTATGATGGCAGTATGTACATGAAGATCATGCTGCCAGGGGTGATGCACACAGAGGCTGAAGATGTGTCCCTGCGGTTCATGTCCCAGCGGGCCTATGGCTTCATGCTGGCCACTACCTCCAAGGAGTCGGCTGACACCCTGCGCCTCGAGCTTGACGGCGGGCAGATGAAGCTCACCGTCAACCTAGGTAACTGCCCCACCACCTGGGGATGCCCCAGTGCTGATGGGGTTAACCAGCTCCCTGGTGGTCACCCCCAAGCAGAGAACTTTCAACCTCCCCCTTGGCAACTGGTTCCAGGTGTCTCCTGTGAGAAGTTGACCCTCCCACCTGGGTTGCACCTGTGCTGAGGGGTCAACCCCTACTTTGGAGCCCTCCTGTACCCATCTGGGCTTTAGAAAGACACTCCTTTTTCCAGGGGGATTCACCTTCATGCCCAGTTTGGCCTTGCTGGTGCCAGAGGGTGGCTCCCTGATTAGTATGGGACCTGCTTTCTCCACCGTGCTTGGCCAATGGGGCAGAAGGGGCCCTTCAACTCACTGGCATCCCTTTGGTTGGCTGGAGTTGGTGGGCTTGGAGGGGAAAGAGCTCCCCACCTTTCTAAATGCCTGGCAGGGTTTGGAGTGATTTCTAGCCCACTGTTTTTAACCCTTCATTGGCGCAGACTCTGCCAGCCCAGCAAGCAGCAGCCGGGACCAAACCCCACCCCTAACCCTTACCCTAGCCTCTCATTCCCCCAGCTTCCCCAAACTCTGCCCATCCACAGTGGCCCCTCAAGCCCAACCTCGCATCCCTCACTACATCCCCAACCTCTGCAGACCCTATCCCTATCTCCACAACACCCTTACTCCATCCCAAACTCCTGCAGATCCATCTCCCACAACTAAATCTACAGCGCTCCCACATCCTCCCCACTTCATTGCATCTCCCTTGTGACACGTTGCCCTTCCAGATCCTTCCTTCTGTCCCACCTGCCCTCATCCTCTCATCCAGTCTCTCTTTCCCCCGTTGGGCTAAACATTGTTCCCTTCATATCTCTTTTCTCCTATGGGGTAACTTCCTGTCCCTCCCTGCATGGAGATAATTCCCTCCCCTCATTTCCTTTCCCCATAAGCTCCCCCTGTTGGTTCTTTGGTCCCGCGCCTGTTTGCGCCCCACTGTTCTGTTGCGGTTGACAACGTGCGTCAGACCCATCCGTGCAGCCTGTGGGAATGGAGCCCCCTTTCCTTCCTCCCCAGAGAGCCCAGATGTCCTGTCCACTGCAGAGATCAGGGAATAGCAAGAACTCTTCTCAACCTTTCTAGGTATGGGGGGAGGGGCAGATCGGAGGTGGCCCATGGTATCCCACCATTTATTTAACCTCTTATCTTCTGGCTATTTTGGGATATGGGCACCTCTGTAGTGACACTGATGCCCTTCATATGGACCTAAGGAGTACACCTGTGCTGTACAACACCCTCAGCTTCTCATAATGTCCTTTCCCAGATTTGGGGATGTTGTCAGCACCCAGGATCACTGGGCCCCCCACCACATCTCCCTCTAAGGGGGTGCCCCCTCACAGTTTGCATTGGTGCTGGGTCTAGTGTTCCCTGATCTCTGCGAGATTCCAGGGCTACCCAGGGTAGATGGAGGTGGTAGCAAGTGGGGGCAACCTAATCTTGGCCCCCTAATCCATGCTGGGTGCAGGAGGACCCTGGTTGGGGAAGTAAATGGGGGAGGAGGCCCTCCATACATCTGAACATGGGGCTGCTCAGCAGGGGTTAACCCCTCCTTGTTCTCATCCTCCTTGTGGCACTGTTTGGGGGTGCCAGGGTGGGAGAGGAAAAAGGGGGTCCATCCCCCACATTGCCCGCTGCACGGCTGATGTTTGCAAGGTGGCCATTTGTCAAAGGGGTGGGGATTATCTCAGCAAATTGCGGGGAGGAGAATGAGCCCCATGAGTTGGAGGGAATTGGGTGTGAACCCCCTTAAAGGTTATAAACCTTCCTTCTCTCCACAAAAAAGAGAAGCATCAGCCTAGTCAATGTCTGTACTAGATGTGGCCAATCCACTTTCTAAACTGGTTCCAAGTTAATCCACTTTATAAAGTGGCTCTGAACCAAACCACTGTCCAAACCAGTTTGTGTTAAAGTGGTTTAAACATGACAGTCTAGTCCTTATAGATGTGCTGAGGAATTAGGTCCTGGCCCAGATCCTGGCTCTGTTTCCTAAGCCCAGCTGGCCCTACCTTAAGCTGGGACAGTAAAGATGCATCAAAAACCAGTTAATAAACTGGGATCTTTCCATGACCCTTTTTCTGGTCAGCTCCTCACCCTGCTCCTCATTGTCCCCCTTCCCCTCCAACCCAACAGTGCAAATCTGCTTCCTACACTGGTTTAGGCCAGTTTCCCTTATAAACCCTTTCAGGCCAATTCCCTTTAACAAACAAATTCAGTCAGGCCTAGTCACCCACAAAGCAAGGGATGCAAATGTAGGCATGCAAAATAGTCAATGAAGCGGGGATTTAAATATCCTGCACTTCATTAGCATGATCTCGCCGGCGGGTTACTCCGATTAACAGCTATTTCGAAAGTGAAAGTGCGTGCCGAGATGCGTTAGTTCAAACCAACACCTTTGGTTCAAACTAACATTACTCCTCATTTTTTGAGGAGCGCACTTTCACTTTCGAAACAGCTCTTGATCGGAGTAACATGCCGGCGAGATCATGCTAATGAAGCGCGGGATATTTAAATCCCCGCTTTATTGATTATTTCCAATGCCTACATTTGCATCGCTAGTTCGAACTAGGGTGCAAGTGTAGACATACCCAAACTGATGCAAATTTTGCATAGATGTTCTTATTTCAGTTTTTCTTGGTCCCTTTTGTTTTAGAGTATCCATACCGAGATTTGAAAGCAGGTTAATCAAACCAGTTAAAAATTAAGTTTCAAAGCAAGATAACTGTCACTGCTGCACACATTGAGTTTGTCCTAGTGTAATTCTATGGGTGCGTTTAGACTGGCAAGATTTTGCGCAAAAGCAGCTGTCTACACTGGCCACTTGAATTTGCGCAAGAGCACTGATGTTCTAATGTAAGAATTCAGTGCTGCTTGCGCAAATACTTTCCCGCTCCCGCTCAGGGATAAGCCCTCTTGCGCAAGAATACTTGTGCAAGAGGGTCAGTGTAGACAGGCACCTTAATTTTTTGCCCAAGAAACCCGATGGCTAAAATGGCCATCGGAGCTTTCTTGCACAAAAGCATGTCTATATTGGGCACGGATGCTTTTCCGCAAAAGCACTTTTTGTGCAAAAGCATCCGTGCCAATCTAGATGCTCTTTTGCGGAAATACTTTTAATGGAAAAACTTTTCCGTTAAAAGTATTTCCGCAAAATCATGCCAGTCTAGACGCAGCTTATCAGTTTTGGGGAGTGATTTTATCCAGAGGCAGCCTCAAGTGAGGATGCAATTATGCTAGGATAAAGGTGCCTTCGAACCTATCCACATGGAGAAATTTCCCAACATAGCTACAATAGAATGGTTATTAATTATTAATAATTAACTCCCTGTGTAAACACTCTGTCCTGGAATAAATTATTATCTTCTGGGATAATTACTCCACTTGCCAAGCTCTGCTAGGGCCTGTCTACACAGCAGAGCTAAACGTGAAATAAGCTATGCAACTTGAGCTACACTAATTGCATAGCTTAAGTCAAAATAGCTTATTTTGACTTTTGGTGCTGTCTACTCAGCAGTAAGTCCGAGAGAGAGCACTCTTCCCCCGACTTCCCTTACTCCTCATACAATGAGAGTTACAGGAGTCAGAATAAGAATTCAAATTAATTTCAAAATAACGGGCTAGCTGTATAGACGCAAAGTACATTATTTCGGAATAACTGAGGTTATTCCGAAATAACGTTGCTGTGTAGACATAGCCCTAGAGAGTTTCCCCATGTGGACAAGCTCTCATCAGAAAAGCATATTCCCTTCCCCTAAAAATAGCTATGCACTTCTCTGCTGGTACAACCATGTCCACATAAGACAGCATTGTTCTGCTTTAGACTGGGGGAGCTAAAGCAGGACAATACATGTTTGTAGCTGGAGATTGGAAGCTCATTAGGAGCAAGGACTGGCTTTTTGTTCAGTGTCTGTCCGACACCTGGCAAAATCGAGCCCTGCGGTGTCATCATTAGAATGACTGTTATAACTTGCATTGCAAAAATGCCTATGACCCTACATCTTGGTTGCACCAGTGGTACAGACACTGGCCAGTCACAATAAGAAATGACACAGCTCCATCACTGGCCAGGAAGGTAGTTTGGGGCTGTAGGTGGAATACCTTTAAGGGACCAGTTCCTACCAAATTCGGGGTCCCCTTCCTTCATGTGAGAGGTTTCAAATGGCCACCTTGACCCACGTCTGTCCCCGGATGGTGGGCTGTGAATTGGATGGTTGTTTGCAGAAGTAACTTTGAAGGATGTAAAACTGTTGCGTTCTCTTCTCTCTCCCCCTACCCCCATCACCCTGGCCCCCGTCTCAGACTGTGTCAGGATAGGCTGTAACCCCAGTAAGTCACTTCTTTACCTTTGGGATTTTTATTTCATGTTCTCTCTCTCTTCTGTTAGTTAAATGAACTGGGTGAATTTTGGGGGTCAGTCCTAATGGAACGGTGACAAGCACTGTATGGTAGCTGAATTGCTATGACGCTGCACAAAAGAGGATTTTGTAGAGGATCTGGGATTATTCCTGGGTTCTGTTCCTGGCTCTGGGAGGGCAGTGGTGTCTAGCAGTTAGCATGGGAGGACTGGGAGGTAGGCCTGGGTTCTTATCTCAGCATTTTGAAGGGAGCTGGTGTAGGAATTAGTGCAGAAGAGCTGAGTCAGGACGCCTGAGTTCTATCCTGGCTCAGGGAGAAAAGTGAGGTCTAGTGGTTAGAGCAGGGGACGGGGGGTCAGGAATTCTAGGTTCTAGCTCCACTGCTGCTCATTTGAGTGTATTGCCTTAAAATGAGTCACTTCGCTGCTTCTTGCCTCAGTTTCCCCTTGCCTCAGACTCACTGCACCTGCCCTGTAGGTGCACACCTGAGCTTTATATCCCTACTGCATGTAAGATACTAACAGAGCCTCATCCAAGATGGGACCTTGGCTAGGAACTGTCCTGCTTCCCATACCCACCCGAGCCTGAAACATTTCAAGAAGACAGGACCTGCCATTTCCCCCCATCCCATGGCTTGGTCCTTGGGGCACTGGTGAAATGCTGCCCTCCTCCCTGCAGCCTGCATGCACTACTGCTCCTGCAGGCTGAATTTGGAAACACACTATGGGGTGTCATAAAGCCCCCCTACTGCAAGCAACTGAGAAGGATTCTTTGGTTTATGGTTCTTGCCCTGCCCAGTATGGAGCTGCTCAGCAGGTGAGGTAGGGGCAAATTAAGCACACACACCCACGTTCCCATAGGCAAATTGCAGATCCCTGGTGGTAAGTAACTGGCACCTGGATTTGGGCTGATTAATGCAAGGCAGCATAGCACCTTGGTCTTTCTTTCCCTGCACAAGCAACACACAGTTACAGGCACAACACCACCCAGTCACATCACAGTCTGTCCTAGATACATACCATGATGAATTCAGGCACAGAAATCCCATTGAGATGGTCACTTGATGTTCTGAAATACAACCGAGCCTGCCTCGCTTCCCTTTGGGGTGTCCCATTACCCTGTCCTGCTAGCTAGACACTTTGGTCTCCTCCAGCATTGGCACAGAGTTGGGGGTAGGATTTAAGTGGTCATAAGTGATATCAGACAGAATAATGTAGGTTAATAAACAAAATAAAATAAAACACACCCGCTAAGCCTAATACACTAAGAACCTTGTTACATGCAATACTTCACCTGAACAGTAGTTTTAATAATTTTTTCACGCAGGCTGGACAGCCTCTTAGCCTGGGTCTGATCCTTCCCCTTGTTCAGTCTTAGAGGTTTCCAGCAGTCATTCTGGGTGCTAAACAGGGGTAATGTAACCTCTGGCAGCTGCCCCTATTGTTTGGCTTTCCACTTTTATACAGATTTTTCCAAAGGTGGGAATCTTCTGTGCTCAGTTTAAACCTTTTCACGCTTTCTGTGGAAAAGTACAATGTCCAATATGTGTCCCAGCATCAGGTGATCTAATCACATTCTCTGTGTGAACTCTGAGCCCCTCCTACTGGCTGGTTCATAGGAAAAACAAACCCATTTACAATCATTGTCCTTATCCCTGAACCGTCAAGTTTCTGAAGCCGCCACACCTCTTTGCAGCAGGTCTCATTCACTCATGTAGATGGCAGCGCACACACACAGGATAGTAGATGTTACTCCTTCCAACTGGGACCAGCACACACACACAAAGCAGGGAGACACTGATATATACATGCACTGGCCAGGGAGATGTTTGCATGCCAGCTGGGGAACACTGTCTTACATAAAGACTGTCAGCAGAGGTATGTCTTACACATTCATGTATGCCAGCTAAGGTGTGTGTCACATCATTACATACATGCATATGTTGGTAAGGAGAGACACCATTACATGTGTGCCAGCTCAGGTGTGTTTTACACCATTACATACATTAATGTTCCAGCCAGAGGAGTACACCTTACATGTACATATGTATTGGCTGGGGAAGCACATGGTGATATGTGCTGGCTGGGGGGCAGCTGTGGTTATACTCACACGTGCTCAGGGCTGCAGACGTTCCCAGCAGTGACATGCAACCCCCAGGTGTGATGCATCTCCTGACAGCGAGGAGCTCCACCCCTTGGACTCAGGTGCGTAGATGGGCCAATGGCATTTCATTGGCTAGAAAGGGATGGGGCCCCATGGGGGAAATAAGCCCCAGCTCTTGTGCATGTGGATTCCTGATGTGGTGAGAGGAGAACATCTCACCCACATAACTCATCCTGGGGCCAGGCAGGTGAAGAATTTACTAGCAGGTCATGGAAGGGCAAGCTGAAACATAAGGACAGGAACTGACCAGTTCCCAAGATCACAGAGACAGAGCTGGGGAGAGGACCCAGAAGTTCTGGCTCCCAGCCCCAACACATATTTTCATGTCTCTCATACAGTCCCTGATCTAAAATGCTGAGTTGCCTCCCCCTCCCCCGAGTCACCCACTCCCCTCAGGTAGGGGAAACCCACTCAGCATTCACCCTGACAGAGTCCCAGATGTTTGGTGGGTGGGTGGGTTCCAGCTCCACATGGACCCCAGAAGCCATATTTGAGACTAGAAAGGGAAGGAATGATGGAGAACCCTACACCATGGGGCAGAACCTTAGTGCAGAGATGTGTGGGGGGGGAGTGAAAAGTGAAGGGAATATACTAGGGTGAGGTGGAGGAAGGCAGTTGGGAATGGGCATGAGGTGGGGATGTAGGGATGATGATGGGGTGGGGAATGAGGTGGTGGTTCTGGTGGTGGAGGGACAGAGGATTGTGATATGTAGAAGGGGGCAGAGGAGCAGTGATTTGGTGGGGGGGTGAAGGAATGTATCTCCTTACTAGATCTCCCCCACTCCAATTACTGCCTTTACAATCCCCATCCCGAGGTGTGGGAGCAACCAGCATCCCACTGTATCCCGAAGGGAAGGGAAGGAGAAATCTTTGTCCTGGGGTGGGTAAATCCAACTGCTCCCTCTACTTCTTTTACTCTGGAGACCTGTGGGAGGTCAGGAACCCTTGAACACCCCACACCGCACTAAGCTGTAGTATCATCCCTGATCTAAGGATTTAAAATATCGAGTAATTTACTAGTTAAGTAGTTGATAGAATTTCCATCGACTACTTGATAGGCACGTCTGCAATCCTGCTTTGAAATATAGGGGGCTCTTGTACATTTCAAAGGAGGAATGTGGAACATGCAGCCCGGGGCCAGCAGGAAGTCCCGCTAACTCTGGGCTGCAGTGGTTGCCAGCTTTGAAATGTACAAGAATCCCCAGCGGGGGCTCTTGTGCATTTCGAAGCAGAAGTGCCCGCATAGAGCCTGGGGCCAGCGGGGGACTCAGCCCCCACCCTTTGTTGCCTCCATCTGATAGAAGCAGCAAGGGGAGGAGAATCGACTCATTCTTAACATCCTTACCCTGATCCCCATGGTACTAACCCAACCAGCAAAACGGCACCAAGGGGAGTTGCAGTGTCCCAAGTTCCCCACCAGATGGCAGAACCCACCAAGGCAAGCTTGGTTCAGAGGAGCTGATGTGCTGGGAGAGTGTGTGTGGTGAGTGGGTAGAGAGGACTATTTCCCATTGTCCTACATGTAACTGCCCCATCACAGAGACCAGAGCTGTTTATCCCCCTGGAAATGAATAATCTAGACCCTACTGCACTGCGGAGTATGAACAGTAACAGATTAGCCATACCTGCTGCAAAATTGGGCTGATTAGTCCCCTTCATGCAATTAACATAGATCCTTCTGGAATGCAATTATAATAATTAGGCAGTCTCTCTACTCACCTGGGGGGTGAAATTAATAACTTGCAAAATAATTAATAAACCACTCCCTTAGAGAACTGCATTGTTAGAGCCAGACAATTAGTATAGGTCCTACTTCAATATACAGTTAGCATCTGATTACTTAGCCCCTCTCCTCCATATGGATGGAGAGTAGTTAGAGTTACTGCAATTAATACAATGGGCTGAGGTTGCACAACAGGTGGCTATAAGTGATCCCTGTAAGCTAAGCACTTGCGTGGCCACCCAGGAGAAATTCAGATGCCACCCAGCTGATTAGCACAGGGCCCACAGCATGGCTACGTCTAGACCGGCATGATTTTCCGCAAATGCTTTTAATGGAAAAGAGCGTCTAGATTGGCACAGACACTTCCGCAAAAGCACTTTTGCACAAGAAAGCCCTGATCACCATTTTTGCCATCGGGGCTTTTTTGCGCAAAACAATACCACGTTGTCTACACTAGCCCTCTTGCACAAAAGCATTTGCGTAACAGGGCTTTTGCCTGAACGGGAGCAGCATAGTATTTCCGCAAGAACACTGACAATCTTACATGAGATCGTCAGTGTTCTTGCAGAAATTCAAGCGGCCAGTGTAGACAACTGGCAAGTTTTTCCTCAAAAGCAACTGCTTTTGCAGAAAAACTTGCCAGTCTAGACGCAGCCCATGTGTTTCTACTGGTGGTGCACATCCACATATGCCTTGGGGCACATAACAGAATGTATTCCACACAGGCCCATCAATGTGGGGAGCAAAGGGGGCGGCCGTCCCTGCTCTTTAAATCAATGCTGGAGCGCTGTGCTACATGCTCTGGGCAGCACTAGGGGCTGGCTGCCCCTGTCCTCATCCCTTCTGCCCTGTCCCTTCTGGGGGCACAGAGGCACCCCTTGCACCTTGCCCAGAGGCTATTGGCTCTGCTGATTCCCCACATGGATGGAAAAAATGAGAGGGAATATTGGTGGCCAGGGGGTTTCATCTGGCCCATCAACCAAGAGACTTCTCCCTGGCAGCTGCTGGAGTAAGTGTCTGTTACAGCAGACTCGCCCTGGGATGGCCTGGTGGCACTGGCCAGTGCCCAGAATTTACTGACAGAAGGGAGGGCACAGGCTCTTCTGCCTTCCCATGGGTATGTGTGACATGGCACAGTGCAGATGGGTGGTGTTACAGCAGGACTCACTGCTGTGTCATATGTTCTCACAGCAGCAGGGGTCACTTGGTGGACCACCCTGGCCCACCAGAGGGTTTTTAGGGATGTTGGAGCCCTCTGCTATCCTGAAGTTGCCCATCACCCGATTTAGGCCCAAAGTAGCAATAAATTAATTAATTGGCCCCTTCCACTACGATTTCCTTGGGGTTTATTAGCCCCCATGTAATTAATATGTAAACTACTAACAAATCATTCCATCATAGACCTGGGTTATTGGTGACAGTCCTATTGCAATACAAATTATTATCCCTTTCCTTCCCTTGTATACCTGGGATTGATAACTCATGCAACCAACATACCAACTGATTAATTATCCACTACCACATGAATTATTATGATTATTAATTTAGGCTCTCCCTATATAGCTGGGTTTATTAGCCCCAAATAATTAGTGAATCATTTCTCCCCAGACCTGGGATGGCTAGTAAGCATGTAAATAATGTAGGCCCTACAGCAATACAGATTAGTCCTTCTGGTCACCATGTCCACCTGTATCTGTTAGACTCCCATGCAGTTATTAATAGGCATTATAATAATTATTAATTAGCTGCATCCTGCCGTGCAGTGACCTGTCATTAAGCCCTGCATGCAATGAATTAGTTGCCTAATGGTAATGATTCATTAACCACTTACAAATTCTTGGTCTGCTTCCAGCCTCCTTTAAGGACACACCCTGCATGGGAATGATAGACTTGGGGGGGAAGGGGGCGCTCCTCTTAGCAGCTGGATGTTTATTGGGTCATTACCACCAGCTGGGAGTGAATGAGAGATTGAGCTGCTCCAGGTAGCAGGGACAGCAGGGAAGAATTAGCTATGGATATTACTTTTTTCCTAACCTGTGGTTTGGAGATCCCCAGCCTTCCATTTCTGAATTCCCTGGAGGTGCAGGGATGGATTTCAAGATGACCTATCGCTTCTTCACTTATTCTCTTTGCTGATTTTCTTGCTCACCAGCAGGTGGAGATACAAACACACACACACATTCTGCAGGAGCAACATTCAGTGTTATGTCTTCAACCCCTGGGCATGTGAGCGCTTGTGTGTGTATATCAAACAGACAGACAGATATTTGGGGGAGGGCACTGAATACAGCAGTGTAGGTGTGCTCTGGGCTGTGTGTACAATTGCACCCAGTGGGACATTGTAGTGGGCTGTAGGTGTACCAAAAGGCACTGTGTGTGGTTATACCCCATAGCATAGAGGGTTAACTTGTAGTGGAGTGTAGGTGTGTTCTAAGGGCTGTGTGTGCAGTTACTCCCAGGAGAAGTGTGCAGTTGGATGCTGTAGGGCAGGGGCAGGGATCACTTTTTGGGAGGGGGGCTGCTGACCCTTCTGAAAAATCCATTGGGTGCCACACACAAGCGAGAAGCAAAAAACCCCACAAATCCTCACTGACATGGCCCCCAACGGAGGAGAAAGACATTCCCCTCGTACAGCAGAGCCCAGGCGGGCCCGGGCTAGGAGATGTTTGTGTGCTCCAGACCTGTGTGGGGTTGGGGAGGCTGGAGCACCAGCATGGGCTCCCAGTGCTCGGAAGGGAGCCCTGAGCCAGGGGGCTGGATCCCTGCTATAGAGGTTGGGCCTGAATTTCCTGGTGGGCTTTTTCCCAGCTCTGAATTGGCATCCTTGCCTCCAGCAGCTGTTGCAGCCTCCACAGGGATAGGGCACCATCGCAGTGCAGCAACTGCAGAGCAGGGCTGTGTCTTCACTGGGCCACTTATTCCGGAAAATCAGCCGCTTTTCCGGAATAAGCTGCGAGCTGTCTACACTGGCCCTTGAATTTCCGGAAAAGCAACAATGCTCTACTGTACAAAATCAGCCGCTATTCCGGAAAAACTATTCTGCTCCCGCTGAGGCATAAGTCCTTATTCCAGAACACTGTTCCGGAAAAGGGCCAGTGTAGACAGCCCAGTAGTCTTTTCCGGAAAAAAGCCCCGATCGCGAAAATGGCAATCGGGGCTCTTTTCCGGAAAAGCGCGTCTACATTGGCCACAGACGCTTTTCCGGAAAAAGGGCTTTTCCGGAAAAGCAGCCTGCCAATGTAGACGCTCCTTTTCCGGAAAAACTGAAAACGGAATAGTATTCCGTTTTAAGCAGTTCCGGAAATTCATGCCAGTGTAGACACAGCCCAGGAGTTTAGTGCTGTGGGGAATGAGTTCAGGGCTGAGTGTGCAATTACACCCAGCAGGGGAATAGGGAGGGAAGGTGGAGCTGATGATTTACTCCATCCTCCTTTACATGCTTTCTGCCATCAGGGCATGTACTGGCTGCGGAGGGGTACAAGAGTATGGGGTGTATGTTGGGGTCTGCATAGTCCCGTCCTGTTGCCAGCTGGAACAGTCTGGCAGGGAACATCTGGATGTGTATCTAGAAGGGGTTGGGGAGGGGGTGTTCTAGTTGGTATGGGTGGGGGGGGGATTGGTGGAGGGAGTGGGGTAGGTGCTGCTAGCTGGGTGAGTTTTGGGGGTTATGTATGTGTTCAGGATGTATCCAGGCAGGGGAGGGACAGGCACCTGGGGGCTGTCTAGGCCTTGTTGCCATTTCCCCTCACCCTACTAGGGCATTAACCCCCCCATCCTGCCCCCCTTCCCTCATTCAGGTAAAGGCCCTGAGACCCTCTTTGCTGGCCATAAACTCAATGACAACGAGTGGCACACGGTGCGAGTTGTGCGGCGTGGGAAGAGCCTGCAACTCTCAGTGGATAATGTCACTGTGGAAGGTACATGAGGACTCCAGGGCTGGGATCGCAGGGGCTGGAAGGCCTGGGGTGAAGGGAGCACTAGGCTGGGATCACAAGGGCTGGAAGGGCTGGGGTGAAGGGAGCACTAGGCTGCGATCGCAGGGGGTGGAAGGCCTGGGTAAGGCAAGGTGAGTGGAGGAATGGAGAACAGGGCTGGTACAGCAGTGGCTGAGAGGCATGGGAAGGGCTGGGGCTGAGGAGGGCATAGGCCTAGAGTCTGCCCCATCCTGGTGTGTAATTGTTCCCTGCCCCCCTCTTGCTCCAAGCAGGGCAGATGGCCGGCGCGCATACCCGCCTGGAGTTCCACAACATTGAGACCGGCATCATGACGGAGCGCCGCTTCATCTCCGTGGTGCCCTCCAACTTCATTGGGCACCTGAGCAGCCTGGTCTTCAATGGGCTGCCCTACATGGACCTGTGCAAGAACGGTGACATCAGCTACTGCGAACTCAATGCTCGCTTTGGCCTGCGCAGCATCATAGCCGACCCCGTCACCTTCAAGAGCCGCTCTAGCTACCTGGCACTGGCCACGCTGCAGGCCTACGCCTCCATGCACCTCTTCTTCCAGTTCAAGACCACAGCCACCGATGGCCTCATCCTCTTCAACAGCGGCAATGGCAACGACTTCATTGTGGTGGAGCTGGTCAAGGGGTGAGACACACACACACACACACACCCCAGTAGGCCATGGGCTGGTTTCCTCATCCTGCCCACTGGGCAATGGGTCCTGTCCCTGTCCCAGTGAGTAGGCCTAGTGCCCAACCCTCTGACACATGTGGTACACCCTGTGGGCCTACTGCTGCTTCCTCAGGTACAGTGCTTCACGCCACTAGATCCTCTGCCCTGCCCCGGCCTTTCTTACTGGGAGCCTTGCCCTCAGCTCTGCCTTGTGCACTGCACTCAGGGCACTCTGCCTCACGCAGAGACCTATGTCTCCTGCCCTTTGTCCTGCCTCTGGGCACACTCTCCTCCCACCGCCCTGCCAACCAGCCCGTCTGCCCATCCACTTCGCCAACTCGCGGCTGCTCTGCCCAAGTCCCCACTTCCCCTCACACCCCACTGACCCCTGCAGGTACATCCACTACGTCTTCGACCTGGGCAACGGGCCATCGCTGATGAAGGGGAACTCGGACAAGCCGGTTAACGACAATCAGTGGCACAATGTGATCGTGTCTCGTGACACCAGCAATGTCCACACACTCAAGATTGACTCCCGCACTGTCACCCAGCACTCCAATGGTGCCCGCAACCTGGACCTCAAGGGTGAGCTGCACTAGCTGCTGCTGTGCCAAGAGGGGCACTGTGGGCCTGCTCCCCTCAGAGGAAGTTTTGGTCCCAGTGTGGAGCTAGGAGATGCCATATCACAGGATTGGGGGGGAGGGTAGTTGGCCAGGAGGAAGGAACTGGGGCTGTTGCACTGTGTAGTGAAGGGGCAACGGGGGCAGCATTGCAAGGAAGACGGGGCAATGTTGGGAGACTGGACAGCAAGATGTAGCAGGGGTGGCATGGAGGTGTGGGGCAGTCTTCCCACAGAGCCAACACTGACTGTATCTTGGATTAGATTCTTCTGCCAAATCTCCCCAGCAATGTCCATTGAATTTGAAATTCTGCCTCTCACTGCTGTGTGCATGTGAAAAGTCCCATGTCCCACCCCAGAAGTGGCTGCATCTCAACACTGAGCAGGGGTGTTTCCCTGATTTAGACTGTTACCAGATTTATCCATTACTTTGGAGAATGCTCATTTACTAGGGCAACTCTTCTGGGAGGGGTGATAATTCTATCCGTGTGCTGCTTGTGCCAAGTGTTCTCATATGGAGCCTTACTTCTCCCTTCTGCCAGTTCCCTCCCAATGGAACTACTCTTAAGGATCTAGATTCCCCAGAACAAGGTTCTTCCCACCCTAGAATCAGATGAACACACACACACATTCACACCCATTACCAAAACACATCTGAGAGGACTGGCTAATCAGAACTCACAAGCTGAGTCCTTATTAGGGATGTTAAATTTTGATTAATCAGCTAATCAAGCAGTCGATGGAATTTCCATCAGCTACTCAATTAGTTGATAAGGGGGATGCTCGCTATCCCACTGCGCCTTCCCCTTCGAAATGTACAAGAGTGATCCGTGGCTCATGTATACTTCAAAGGGAGAGACACAGCGGTTACCTCGAGAGGATCAGCAGTGGGACCAGAGCAAGCGGGACTGTTTCAGTCCCTGTTCATGCTGCTGCCCTCTGCCCCCCACAGAGATGGTGCTTGGCGTGGAACTGGCTTTTAAGAGGCAGCAAGGTGGGGGGAAGTGATTAGTCTAGTTCCTACTTGAGTACCTGATAAGCATTTGTTTATTGGGTAGTTGACTAGTTGATTCCATCCCTTGCCCTTATATGTCCCTAGACTCAGTTGTCTGGATTGCACAGAAGAGCCAAGCTGTGACCTCATGGGCTCTTGGACTCAGTACTTTGGACCCAAGTTGGGCAACTCCCTATCCCACTTTCACATAACCATTCTGCTAGTAACCCACTTACTGAGCAAATCTCACAGGATTTTGGGCGCTAGAGGAATCTTTAGCTTAGGTACAATGAGTGTTGCTGCAGAGTGAATGGGGAAGCCAAAAGCCAAGTGGCGAGGGAGAGAAAGAGAGAAAAGCAACCAGCTTAACTATGAAAGGGTATGTCTACACTACCCCGCTAGTTCGAACTAGCGGGGTAATGTATGCATACCGAACTTGCAAATGAAGTCCGGGATTTGAATTTCCCGGGCTTCATTTGCATAAGCTGGGCGCCGCCATTTTTAAATCCCGGCTGGTTCGAACCCTGTGCAGCGCGGCTACACGCGGCACGAACTAGGTAGTTCGAACTAGGCTTCCTA